AAAAAAAAAAATGGAGATAACAGAGTGAAGAAAATTACCTCTTCATACTTCTGGGTTACGGCGAGCCGCTCGTCCTCGGACATATCTGGCCTCAGCACCATCATTGTCTCGTACTTCCTGAGGCCCGGCGGGCACTCCGTCTCCTCCACATCCTCCACCGTCGGAAAACCCCAGACGGGAACATCCAGCTCATCATCGTCGATATCATCTTCGTAATCATCGTCTACATCGACATCGAATAACGAGAAATCGAACTCCTCTGTCACGTCGGAAGCCGCTATCCGGAAGCTCCCGGGCCTCCTCAGCGGCGGGGCTTTGGAGAGACCGCTCGATTTGAAAGGGCGGAGAAAGTTGGGGGATGGGGAGTGGATTTTAGTGACCGGGCGATTAGAGACCATGAGAGAGCATGTGGAGAGAGAATGTAAGGAAGCCATTGTTGCTCGAGTATGTGTTTTTTCTCGAGCTGTATTGGATGTTCTTTGATTCTTGTAGATAAGGGGAGAAGGGATGATAGGAAAAGACGCTTTTCGCCAAATTATATACGGTTTTGTTCTTTGGAAGTAAATAACGCTTAACCGGAGCCAATTGTTGGCTTAATAGCAACATCGTTTGAATATATATCGATTTGGTACTTTTTTTTAGCCCATTTTTTTTTCTACCAATTGAACTATCCCTTCTTGCAGATCATTTGGTTAAGTTAACCTAACTCGAATTAAGATTCTCAACTTGGAGATTCATATTTGCACATTCTAATTTCACTTCAAGATTCATAATATAGAGTGACATCACTTTTTCCAAGATGATGTCCTCGTCTCGGCTCGTAACCTCGTTAAGGTTGAGTTCAGCTCTACTCATTTGGTAAACAAGCCAAGCTCGAGCTCATTAATAGCTCGTTTGGTTAACAAACCGAGCTCGGCTTGACTCTGTCATTTTTATATAATTTTCTATAGTTCGACTCGTTAAAGCTCGAGATCGGCTCGAACACTACTCGCTATTAGTGATAGACGAGTCGAGCTAGGCTCGAGCACTTTAAGCTCGAGCTCGGCTCGAGTCATTTACATGCCTACACGACGCATTAATCCAATCATTCGTCTTTGCAAGAAACCATGGACTCTCACAGTCTCACCATGACTTATTTGTGCAGTTGCTGGATATTTTTTAGCGTTGGATCAACACACAATACACGATTAAAAAAAACTGAAAGGTTGAATCATCGGTGGGTTGAAATCCTCCCACTTAACCCTAGTGCATGATCATAAAACCCAAAAACACCTTAGAGCATCTCCAACCACAATCTTTATACTTACAGTTTCTACAGTAAAATCCCACTAGTTATACAGTTTCAACAGTGTCAGCAACTCCAACCCATTCCCTCTATAATTCCCCTCTAAAAGAATATTCCAAGCATATTCTTTTCTAATTTAATTAGTTTATTAAATAATCTCTACAAATTACATTTTAATGCATTATGCTTGCTAAAATTTACGTATTTATGTATATATATTAATTATTAATTAATAATATTAATTAATAAATTTAAATTCAAAATCATAAAATTACACACTACATAAAAGTATCCAATTTTTCATTATACTACTTAATTTATACCATATTAATTACAATAATTAAATTTAAAACTTTTATAAAAATACTTTAATTTCACTCATAAGATTGACATAAAAATACTTTTAATAAATTTACATAAAAAATTTAACACCATAAAATTTAAATTGTTCGTTTATAATATTTAGTTACAATTACAATTATTAAGTTTAAATAAAATTTATACAATATTTAATTTAATCCATTAAATTATTAAAAAAAACCAACTCATCTAGCCCAATTGTAGTTAGAAACAATCAAAAGAAGCCCAATCCATTGCCAAAATTTATAGCCCACTTCATTTTTTTACTGAAAAAAAAAAAAAAAA